ACCACACCTGGCTAATTTTTGTATTTTTAGTAGAGACAGGTTTTTGCCATATCAGCCAGGCTGGTCTCAAACTCTTGACCTCAAGCAGTCCACCCACCTCAGCCTCCCAAAGTACTGGGATTACAGATGTGAGCCACTGTGTCCAGTCAGTGAAATTTAAGATAATGAATGGTGGTGTAGTGTCACTTCTGCCAAAACTACACCTTACATGATAACCCTTTCTTGCTCCCCACCAGCTTCTGCTCTCAATTCTCGTTTGGTCATGCTGAGCCACGGTTTGGGGTCTCCTAGAAGCAGCCATCACAGGTAACCAGTTCTGCTGGCTCAGGATGGCCCCTGCTGCCCTGACTCAGAGACACTTCCTGTAAGGCAGACATCTCATGCAGAGCAGAGGCCACTACAGTCAGAAGGAAGGGCCTGGTAGCCTCAGAGGCACAGCCAAGGGGCTGCAACAATGGAAAGAAGATATTCCACAGGTCCAAGGATGTGACATGGAAGCACCCTCTGGGATGTGGTGGACTCAAGAGATCCATGCAGATGTGGGTGCTGTCTCTCTCTCTTTCTCTGTTCTTCATAGAGTGTGGCATGGGTCCTCTCTGGGTGAAAATAGGTGCCCAGAATCACACACTTCCATTCAAAATAAATTGTGTCAACCTGCTGAACCACAAAATGATTCCCTCGCCATGGCCCCAAAGAGCTCTGTGATAAGAACTGTATGCTATTGATGGATCTGAAGTCTAAATTTTGGCAAAAGCAAAGAACACGCCTGAACCAGTCATTTCTGCAGGTGTTTCTCCTTAAGATGAGTTTGAAGCCAATTGGTTATGTGAAGAATAGCAATCAGTTCTTTCTCTCACACTGGAGGAGGGAGAAGCAGAAACAAAGTTCAAGGGTCAAGCCTCCCAAAAGGCTCTGTTGTAATCCTATGCGCTCTTTCATCGTATCTAGTGATGAATTTGGGTAACTGACACTTTACTCTTTGGCCATCCATCCTCGAACTTGATAAGCATTTTCATTTATGTAAGTTTACTTGTAATTCTTCCAAAACTTATCTTCACATTTCCCAGCAAACTAATTTCAGACATTTTATGTTTTTATGATTCTATTGTGAAAGGAACCTCCATTTCAATATACCCGTTGCAGGTATAGATTTTGTGCATTGCTTTATGGTGTTGATTTGTCCATCTTTTTTATTCTGCCTGGCTTATTGTAATCTTGATTTTTTAATTTTTCAATTGGGTTTTTAAAGTATGTTAATGTTAATAAATGCATTTTTAGGTTTCCTTTCCCAATTATTACAGCACTTAGGTCTATTTCATATCAAATTGATTTATTTATTAAGACAAGGTCAAGCTCTGTCACCCAGGCTGGAGTGCAGTGGCATAATCAGGGCTCACTGCAGCTTCAACTTCCTTAGCTCAAGATCCTCCTACTTCAGCCTCCTGTGTAGCTAAGACTATAGGAGTGTGCCAACACACCCAGCTAAGTTTTTTGCTTTTTTAATACAGATGAGGTTTTGCTATGTTGCTCAGGTTGGTCTTGAACTTCTGAGCTCAGGTGATCCTCCTGCCTTGGCATCCCAAAGTGCTGGGATTGTAAGTATGAGCCTGGTCTCATACTTTATTTGTAGTAACAAGAATATCTGGAAAATGTTCAATACTGCTGAGAGCAGATTTCTTTCATTTTCGATGTGTGTATCCTCCATGGTTGTTGAACAGAGGAGTAAATAAGAAAAAGACTCAAGAGAGATGGGAGTCAGTTCTCATCAGAGGAAAAAAGGTCTATTCCCAAGGCAGAGAAATATTGAGATGGGTTGTGTTCAGGACTAGCAGGAGGTGTGTGGCTGTCTACATCCTACTGGCCTAAAGAAAAGATGCCCCACACTAAGGACAGCAAGAGGGAAAGAGTGAGCCTCCTCCTCTGTGACTTCAGTGGGCAGCTTAACTAGCACCAGGAAAGACCTATACTTGCAGATTTTCTTTGTGAGAAAACGGTGTTGGTTATTTGGGTTTTTATTTATTTCCAACCAAACATGCCTTAACAGATACAGGGTGCAAAGGTGGTACTAGATTATTCCAAACCTGCCTCACTGGTTTGTCCGGCATTCTGTGGACTGCCTGCATTCCTCTTTGAGGCAGGTCATTTTCTGGAGGTTGTTTGTGATCAGCCTCTGCTCAGAGCCCAAAGTCTTAGCCTTTCCCCCATGTGCGATGTCCAGTGTGGATTATCCTGATGGTGAGCTTACCTTTGATGTTGGGGAAAACAGGCAAAGAATGAATGAGCAGCAGTAACCAAAGAGCCTCTCTTCTGGGAACAAAGCTATGATACTAATAATTCATAGTTCAAATGCACATTAATTTTTACAATACGTTCCCAAGCTCTCAGAAGTTCACAGACGTGTCCTCAATGCTCACACTTCAAAGACGGAAAGACACATCTTTCTTCTTTTTAAAAACGATTTTAAAATGTGTCCCCCTTTACATGGAACGATTTGAGATGTTCTGTGTGATGAAAGAGAGACAGAGAATGATGAGTGGAAATCAAATCCTGGGTCCAGGATTCAGTTGCACAGCTGGTTTAGGACTCAGTTGAACACCACCAGCTGCCATAATGGTCCAGCTGTCATAATCGTTTGGGCCAACTTATAGCTTTACATATTTTATTCTTAGTCATATGTTGCTTAATTTGAACCAATAGAAGACCATTGATTTAAAAAAGCATATAGGGCCGGGGCAGTGGCTCATTCCTGTAATGCCAGCACTTTGGGAGGCCGAAATGGGTGGATCATCTGAGGTCAGAAGTTTGAAACCAGCCTGACCAACATGGTGAAACCCCGTCTCTACTAAAAATACAAAAATTAGCCGGACGTCATGGCATCTGCCTGTAATCCCAGCTACTAAGGAGAATGACGCAGGAGAATCGCTAGAACCTGGGAGGTGGAGGCGGAGGTTGCAGTGCCATTGCACTCCAGCCTCGGCAATAAGAGCGAAACTCCATCTCAAAAAAAAAAGCATATAGAAGAATATTAATATATTTAAATAACTCAGTATCTCAATAAACCTATGTCTATGTGGAATATATATATATTTATTTGAGATGGAGCCCCCTGTAGTAGAGACAGGGTTTCACCATGTTGGCCAGGTCGGTCTCGAACTCCTGACCTCAGGTGATCCACCCACCTCAGCCTCCCAAAGTGATGGGATTACAGGTGTGAGCCACCGCACCTGGTCCTATGTGGACTATATTAAGAGAGAAAAAGTAAAAATTAAACTTTGCAATTGAATGAAATAACTACTATTTCTAAAACACACATTTTCACTTATGATCCATAATGCCTTCTATGCAATTCAAAATTCCAGATATTTTCTAACAGAAAATTTCTCCCTGTTATGAATCTGCAAAATTTATATGAACAAGGCTATTTATATTTTGTCTCTCTGCTACCTAGTGTAAATATTCTTGTATTTTGCTACAGATATACTCATGTGTTTGATGGTCAGATGCTACCCCAAACCTCTTAGGGATTTATATACTGTATGGTGTAAATACATTACCATCCTACTAAAATCCAAATGATTGTGAATTACAAAATACATCTGGCCCAGAAGGTTTTGAACAAGCAATCAAGGCACTGTCTAAATCCAACAATGATGAATAACATTTTTTCAACATTTTACATGCTTAATAGTTAACATTTCTTCAGAAGTCTTTTTTTTTTTTTTTTTTTTTTTTACAAATTACAATAAATTAAACAGCATATTTAATTTGCTAAACAGGAAAAGAGTATGCAATTACTAAAAGTTGAATTAAAATGGCTCTCATAAATCAATCTTCAATAATATACTTATTTAAAACCATCTTTAGGTTGGGTGCGGTGGCTCATGCCTGTAATCCCAGCACTTTGAGGGGCCGAGATAGGCGTATCACCTGAGGTCAAGAGTTTGAGACCAGCCTGGCCAACATGGCAAATCCCCATCTCTACTAAAAATACAAAAATTAGCCAGGCATGATGGCACGCCCTGTAATCCCAGCTACTCAGGAGGCTGAGGCAGGGGGAATCGCTTGAACCCGGGAGGCAGAGGTTGCAGTTGAGCCAAAATCGCGCCACTGCTCTCCAGCCTGAGTGAAAGAGCGAGATTCTGTCTCAAAACAAACAAAACATCTTTGGCCAGTCATGGTGGCTCACACCTGCAATCCCAGCACTTTGGGAGGCCGAGGCAGGAGGATTGCTTGAGCCCAGGAATTCAAGACCAGCCCTGGCAACACACTGAGATCTCATCTCTACACAAATATTTGTTAAAAATTAGCGAGGTGTGGTGATGCACACCAGTAGTCAGTCCTAGCTACTTGGAAAGCTGATATGGGAAGAACACATGAGCCCAGGAGGTTGGGCCAGCAGTAAGCCATGACTGCTTTCCAGCCTGGGTGACAGAACAAGACCCTGTATCAAAAACAAATTCTTTTAATCAAAAATCAGGTTTTATCCTATACCACATAAATAGAAATCATTAGAAGAATTTCCACCAGCCTGGGCAACATGGTGAGGTTTCTGTCTCTACAGAAAAATACAAACGAGGCCGGGCGGGGTGGCTCATGCCTATAATCTTGGCACTTTGGGAGGCTGAGGCGGGCGGACTGCCTGAGGTCAGGAGTTCGAGACCAAGCTGGCTAACACGGTGAAACCCTGTCTCTACTAAAAATACAAAAATTAGCCAGGCATAGTGGTGCATGCCTATGGTCCAAGCTACTTGGGCAGCTGAGGCAGGATAATCACTTGAACCCAGGAGGCGGAGGTTGCAGTGAGCCAAGATTGTGCCACCTCACTCCAGCCTGGGCGACAGAGCAAGACTCTGTCTCCAAAAAAAAAAAAAAAAAAAAAAAGCCAGGTGTGGTGGCGTGCACCTGTCCTGTAGTCCCAGCTATTTGAGAGACTAAGGTGGGAGGATCACTTGGGCTCAGGAGGCGGAGGCTGCAGTGAGTTGTGATTGCACCAATGCATTCCAGCCGGGGTGACAGAGCAAGACCCTGTCTCAAGAAAAAAAAAAAAAAAAAAGAATTTCTAAGGGGGTTTGCTTCCTTGCGATTAAGGGCCTCCATCAAACTTGAATATGAAGGGTTAGACGTATCCCTATTCAAATCCGGAACAAAACAAGACTGACTATTAGTAAACATGACTACTTGACATAGCTCTGTCATACTAGCTAGGACTATACAATGTTACTTTTTTAAAGTTGAAGTATGGAAAAGGAAGATATCAAATTACTTATTAATTGGGGATAGTGTTATATCTATAATAGACAAGAAAAATCCAAGGAAATATTATTAGACTGTAAGATATCTGCAGTCTCTAAGTAAATACTCCTATGCCAAAATCAACACACTAACAGCAACAACAATTAAACAACGTGTAGCCTGAGGTTGGATCCTCCACAGTGACCAAAAAAACTAACAACCCGTGGAACAAGTTTAGCAGGCAATGTACAGGACCACCAGAGGGAGGCAGAGGACTGCTGAGACCTGCCAGGAAATATTAAGAAAGAGTGCACAGTGCCCTGAGCACCGAGAGAGATCATCAAGGCCCTCAGATCCCAAGAAGACAAGACCATACCAGGACCTGGGACCTAAGGAAGATACGAAAACACCAGATGTCGGTCCTTGAGGAAGCCAAGAGAATACCTCCTTGTCCTGAGCTTCCAAGGAAGACGAGAGCACCCTGGGTCCAACGATGGTGGCACACACCAGGTCCTGGACAGTTAGAGACTTCAGTTTCCTCTCCCTAGACATAAGAACCTCAGCTTCCAGGAGCAAACTGGACCACAGGGGGACACTGGGCAGAGAATACTGCTCCTCCTCCCCAGTGCCTGGGGTACAGTTAGCCCTAATCATCTCTCCAGAACTAGGGTGGACGTTTGGCCTCATTCCCATCACACTTACGGTCCACCTAGTCTTCCCTCCTTCCCCTTGCATACCCCTGACCTTCCTACTCCCTTCCTCTAATCCCCAGAACTAGGGTGGACATTTGGCCACGTTCCCATCACACTTCCGGTCCTCCGAGTTTCCCTCCCCTCCCTGACCTTGAGTGACACTTGGCCCTGTCCACCCTCACTTCTAGGCAGGACCCATCTCCCAGAAACATAGGTGTCGTCAGTCCCAACTCCTGCACACTTCCTGCTCTCCCAGTCCTCGCCTTCTTTCTCGCCTTTGAAACTGGTGGAACTACAGTACCTCCCCACTCCCCCCCGCGACTTCCGTCCTCCAGTCGCGCCCCCTTCCCCAAAAGTTGCGTGGACCCTAGCCCCGCCTCCTTCTCCCCGCCCTCCCTGTCCCCGCCCCTCCACCGAGATGGACGGCCAGTTAGGCCCGCCCCCTGCACTTCCGGCCCTACCCGCCCTTCCTCTTCCCAAGGGACGTCATAATTAATCCCGCCCCCACCGCCACCAACTAAGCATCACCTACTCCGCACTTCCGGCCTGACCCCTGTCCAGCTCCTTTCCTATCTCCAGCTTCTGCTCTGCCCCAAGAGTGGTCGCCTTCGTGGCAGGGCACGACTCTCTTCCAGCTCGGGTCACCGCCCACATTAGTGTGGGGCCCTGCGGCCTAGCGTCCCTCATCAGAGGCTTCCCCTTGCCTAGCTGGACCGCCGAGGGACATCGACGAGTGCCCTCCTCCTGCCTTCCCTGGCTTCGCCTGCCGCCCCTAACCGGCCGGTCAAGATGGCCGCCGCTGGGTGAGGCGAGCTGGCACGCCGCGGGGGCATCTGGGAGTTGTAGTCCGGGACGGCGGGCTGACGCACTTCGCCGCCGGCCGACGGGCGCCATTGTGCGGCGCGCGCCGGGTGAGTGCCGCGCGAAACATGCGTCCGTCGGGGGCTGCGCTGGGCGGGTCCGGAACCGTTAGTTGGGGGCGAGCGCGTCCTCTGCATTTCCCGCCGAGCTCGGGTACCCGGAGCTGGCCGTGCCTGCAGTCCTCCCGCCGCTCTGTGGGATGGGGTCGGTGACCCGGAACCCCGAGGGGAGACAGTGCTTTCGGGGCGCCGGGGTGGAGAGAACAGATCGCCTCCGGGAGCGTGGGGTCTGGGCCAGGGAGGCGATCCCCTCCGATGCGCGGGACAGAGGAGGCTCGGTGTCCTCTCGGGGAGGGGAAAACTGGTGCTATCCAGTACTGTGGGAGTCCTGTGACTCACTCTGGGCGTTTTCCAGTTTGGCTGGACTTGTCATTTCCCGCTGAGGGAGCCGTTCCTGGGCGGAGGCTGGGGTAGCTCCCCAGCGGAGCTCTTACGCCTCTCCCTCCCCTCCCAACTTCGGTTTCCTCAGGACTCTGCCCACTTCCACCAGAGACACATTGAGAAGGAGGAAACTATGGCCTCAAGGCTTCCGACGGCCTGGTCCTGTGTGAGTAGAGGCTTCCTTCGGCTTTTGTGTCCGCTGCTGCACCTGGGGGGATGCGGATGGTGGTGAGATACCACCTTCCCTGAGATACCCCCGTCCCCCAGAGCACCTCGGGGAGGGGTAGATTGGTTGGGCAGGAGAGATCCTGCGTGATAGTGGAACCGCAGGTGCTTTGGTTTTCCAAGGGTGTAGTTAGAATGGAGACCAGATTGTAGGGGCTTCTGAAGGCCAGGTCAAGGCTCTTCCTTGTATCCTTTATACTGGGAAGAGTAATTGACAGGACTTTTGTTTGTTTTTTTGTTTTTTTGAGATGGAGTCTCCCTCTGTCGCCCAGGCTGGAGTGCACTGGCGCCATCTTGCAACCTCCGCCTCCTGGGTTCAAGTGATTCTCCTGCCTCAGCTTCCTCGAGTAGCTGGGACTACAGGCGTGTGCCACCATGCCCAGCTTTTTTTTTTTTTTTTTTTTTGTATTTTTAGTAGAGACGGGGTTTCACCATGTTGGCCAGGCTGGTCTCGAACTCTTGACCTAAGGTGATCCGCCCACCTCGGCCTCCCAAAGAGTAATTGACAGGTCTATGCAGGGATCAGGCTTATGTTTAGATTTCAGCAGATAAATTGGCATTGAGCAAGAGGTGACAGCAGCAGAATTCAATAACAAATAGAAAAGACAGGTGAGGATGGATCCCTGACAGGTGAAGGACATAGAAAGAAGCATCAGGGCTCTGGGTAGGGGCTGACAGCTTGGGTGTGATGGTGCAGCTCAGAGAATTCCCTAGGAGGCATACGCACCACTCTCAAAGTCAGAATTTTCAAATGAATAAGAAATAGGGCCGGGTGTCGTGGCTCACGTCTGTAATCCCAGCACTTTGGGAGGCTGAGGCAGACGGATCACGAGGTCAGGAGTTCGAGACCAGCCTGACCAACATGGTGAAACCTCATCTCTACTAAAAATACAAAAATTAGCCGGGCGTGGTGGTGTGCACCTGTCATCCCAGCTACTCAGGAGGCTGAGGCGGGAGAATCGCTTGAACTCGGGAGGCGGAGGCTGCAGTGAGCTGAGATTGCACCACTGCACTCTAGCCTAGGAGACAGAGTGAGACTCTGTCTCAAAAACAAACAAACAAACAAATAAATAAATAAATAAATAAATAAATAAATAAAATAAAATAAATGGACAGGTTGTCATATGCTACAGAGGACTCATGTGTTGCTCTCCTTATTGTAACCTGAATAGAGTCAAGCTTGGGTTTGCTTGGGGTTTCAGACAAAGACAGAAACTCAGGATGAGACTGCCAGAATGTCCTTGGGTCATCTTGTAGACCATTCTGTGCTTTCACTGGCCTGGTCAGCCTCCCCTGTCTTTCTTTTGTCATGGATGCGGACGGCCCATGGCTGAACAAGAATCTGGATTTTTAGGAACCAGTGATCTTTGAAGATGTAACACTGGGTTTTACCCCGGAAGAGTGGGGACTGCTGGACCTCAAACAGAAGTCCCTGTACAGGGAAGTGATGCTGGAGAACTACAGGAACCTGGTCTCAGTGGGTAAGGCTGGCCTCCAGGTCAATAAGGATCTGTGTAGCACCTCAAAGTATGTGTCTGCTTGGGTTCAGACTGCAGGGGCACCAGTAGGAAAAGGGCAGCTTTTCAGTATGACTTCTGAAGCCTTGCCTAGTCCATCCCTCCCTGAATACCAGGGAGATGGGTCTGTGGGGGATGTTTTCAGCTGCAATAGTGTATGCTTATTGTTTTTGTAACAAGAGCTCCAGCCAGGCATGGTGGCTCAGTTCAGGAGACTAAGGCAGGAGGATTGTTTGAGCCCAGGAGTTTGAGACCAGTATGGGCAACATAGACCCTGTCTGTATTTAAAAAAACAAAACAAACAACTCCACAGAAATTCCAGACAATGTGATGCCAGTGTCCCAACGGTTTAGGAGTAGCACCAAAGAGCCTGTCCCTGCCAGGCACGGTAGCTCACGCCTGTAATCCTGGCACTTTGGGAGGCTGAGGCAGGCAGATCAGTTGAGGTCAGGAGTTCTAGACCAGCCTGACCAACATGATGAAACCCTGTCTTTACTAAAAATACAAAAATTAGCCAGGCACCCCAACTACTTAGGAGGCTGAGTCAGGAGAATTGCTTGAACCTGGGAGGTGGAGGAGGTTACAGTGAGCTGAGATTGGATCACAGCACTCCAGCTTGGGCAACCAAGCAAGACTCTGTCTCAAAAAAAAAAAAAAAAAAGCCTGTCCCTTCAGACTCTGGTTATTGTGAACCTTTCCATGTTCCCCCTACTAATTGCACAGCTGTGGCTCCAAGCATTGCATCTGTGCTCAAGGCAGAAACAAGGAGAAGGGGTAGCCCCAGCCAGGTCTCTTTCACAGCTGTTATGTTGAACCAGAAAGCAAAAGCTTTCCCAGCTGACCGATCTGTCTTTGTGTCTGGCTGACCAGAATTGGGCCCCTTAGCTGCTTGGCAAAGGAGTCTTAGAAAGCCAGCAACAGGGATGGATGGAGTTGTGTTCACCGCTCTAGGCCAGAAGTCATGTATGTCATGCCTTAGCAGGGGAGAAGCTGGAGATGGCTTGTGCTGCAGTAGGATAGCATTTTCTCCCGAACACAGACCCCCACAAGCCCTGTCTCTTTTCCTTTGAGCAGAACATCAGCTTTCCAAACCAGATGTGGTATCTCAGTTAGAGGAGGCAGAAGATTTCTGGCCAGTGGAGAGAGGAATTCCTCAAGACACCATTCCAGGTGAGAACCAGACATGGGAAGCCCCCACAGGGAAGGGGCCAACTGATTAGTCAGGGACCCATATCTTGGAAAAGCAGTAGGCATTGGGATACCCCAGATGGGGTGCTGTGATGAGCAGTTGCAGAACCAAACTGGCCCCAGAATCAGCAGTGTCCTGCTTGGTTGAAAGTGAACCTGTTGCCGGTGGCAGGTGATACTTGTGTTGACAGTAGAGGCTCCCTTAGTCTGTTACATGCATTGTCTACTCTGCCTTCCCCTCATAACCACTGGTAACCCTGGTGTGTATTTCCAGCCAGACTTTCTTACACAGGCTTATGTGAATGTATGCGAATATATATATACATTTTGAGGGTGTTATAATACAGACAGTTCAGCTTCTTTTTGATTTGGAGACTGGCTCTCACTCTGTCACCGAGGCTGGAGTGCAGTGGCATGATCTCAGCTCACTGCACCCTCTGCATCCTGGACTCAAGCTGTCCTCCTAACTCAGCCTTCCAAGTAGCTGGAACTATAGGCAAGTACCACCATGCCCATTTAATTTTTTTTTTTGTAGAGACAGTGTTTCACCATGTTGCCCAGGCTGGTCTTGAGCTCCTGAGCTCAAGTGATCCACCCACCTCAGCCTCCCAGAGTGCTGGGATTTCAGGCATGAGTCACCGGGTCTGTCTGGTCTGCTTTATTTTATTTATTTTTTGAGAGATGGCGCCTCACTCTGTTGCTCAGGCTGGAGTGCAGTGGTATGATCTCAGCTCACTGCAACCTCCGCCTCCCGGGTTCAAGTGATTCTCCAGCCTCAGCCTCTGCAGTAGCTGGGATTACAGTGTGCACCATGACTCCAGGCTAATTTTTGTATTTTTAGTAAAGGACAGTTTCACCATGTTGGCCATGCTGTTCTTGAACTCCTGTCCTCAAGTGATTCACGCACCTTGGCCTCCCAAAGTGCTGGGGTTACATGCATGAGCCATTGTGCCCGACCTCCGCTTTATTAACAGCTTCGGTGTGGTCCACATTTGATTTTTCTTCTTTTGATGGACATTAAATTTACTACAGAAAACCTCCTTGCATACTTTGTTTTTGCATGAATGAGTTGATTTTTCTGTAGGTTGGATTTCTAAAAATGGAACTACAGGATCAACCAATGTTGTAAACTAAAAATCTGGTAGTGACAGATTACCATCTCAGATCCTTTAAGGCCAGGCACAGTGGCTCACGCCTGTAATCCCAGCACTTTGGGAGGCTGAGGTGGGAGAATGTTTGAGACCCTGTCTCTCTAAAAAAAAATAGGCCGGGCACAGTGGCTCGTGGCTGTAATCCCAGCACTTTGGGAGGCCAAGGCAGGCAGACTATTTGAAGTCGGGAGTTTGAGACCAGCCTGGCCAACATGGTGAAACCTCATCTCTACTAAAAATACAAAAATTAGCTGGGCATGGGCCAAGTGCGGTGGCTCACGCCTGTAATCCCAGCACTTTGAGAGGCCGAGGCGGGCAGATCATGAGGTCAGGAGATCGAGACCATCCTGGCTAACACAGTGAAACCCCATCTCTACTAAAAATACAAAAGATTAGCTGGGTGTGGTGGCAGGTGCCTGTAGTCCCAGCTACTCAGGAGGCTGAGGCAGGAGGATGGCGTGAACCCGGGAAGTGGAGCTTGCAGTGAACTGAGATCGTGCCACTGCACTCCAGCCTGGG